CCTGCAAAAGAAAACAAGGCTGAACAGTCCTAAAAGGCCATCGGCCGTAACACTTTTAAAAAACAAAAGTAAAAAATTCAGCTTGAGAGTTCCTATCACAATCTCCCTCCCAATTCTGCATGGCCTGAAGGGTCTGTTCTCTGTTGTCCATATAAAGTACTACAGAAATTTAACTCTGCTGTACCCTCAAAAGAACATGTTTGGCACCAATCTGCTGCAGCGTGGCTGTCATTGAAAATAGCCTTTAATTTGTTTAAAAAAAGAAAAAAAGTTTGGTGAGGGTATTCAGTATGTTGATAATAATAATAATTTAACTTTATTGATCTCGCATTGGAGAAATTAACTCTCTGCATTTAACCCATCCCTTTGGGAGCTGTGGGCTGCCATCATGGAAAATGTACCTTTAGCTTCTTTTGGTATTTTCTCATCTCTAAGAGCAAGAAAATAATTATTTAGTATAGGATGAAAATATCTAACTTAAGTGTGAATGTTTTTTTCAGCATTTGGGTAGTATGGTGCAAACAAAGAGCCCTGCAATGACTGTCAGCAGTCAGCTGCCTGAATAGGTGAAACATATATGCCATCACTGACGGGCAAATAGTCAAGAAGTAAGCAAATGACTGAGCAAACAAAAAATACACAATTAACAGATTCTTGCTGCTTCCACTGTGGGAAAAAGGTCACACTCCAACCTTGAAGGTCACATCTAAAGAAATGTCAGCACAACACAAATTCAGCTCTGTATATAATATTATTTTATAACAAATATAGCAACTAAGTTGTGAGAATTTTTAACACATTTTCAAGAATTTATAAAATTAGAAAACTACTTTATGAATGTTTTTTACTACACCTATTTTTCAGCGACGGTAACGATAAACAAATTTAAAAATGCATTAATAAAATGTATATTTGTTACTTGTCTAGCCTAGCTAAGCTATTCTTAGACAATTTGTAGTTATTAATGGATAATATTGTATTATTTTATATTAGGACACACTGTATAATAAGACAACTGTGCAGTGACTCTTTGCTATCCTTTCAGCAGGTCATGCCATGCTATTAGGACATATATTTAACATTTTAAATATACTGTTACTTTATTTTTTGGTTCTAACACTTCTTATTAATTCAACAACAATAATGACATCATCAATAGAAAATACTTATTTACTAACAGTCAGTAGCTTGGTAGAATCCTGGCATCTTTGAGTATTCAACGGCCACTTATTTCACTGTGCCAATGTACTTCAACAGATTTTTTTATATTACCATATTTTTTTTCTTATCAAGAAACAAACCACTCACACAAACAGTTACACAAGGTGTAACAAGGTGGCATTTCTCACAGACCTCTGATCTAGAAGTTAAATATAGATGCATTTTTCTGAGTTATTTGAGGATGTTTATCTTATTCAGTGGATAACTCAAGAGNAACCTAAGTGTGAAAATGTTTTCAGCATATGGGTAGCATGGTGCAAGCAAAGAGTCCTGCAATGCTGTCAGCAGTCAGCTGCCTGAAGAGGTGAAACACATATGCCATCACTGACGGGCAAATAGTCAAGAAGTAAGCAAATGACTGAGCAAACAAAAAATACACAATTAACAGAGTCTTGCTGCTTCCACTGTGGGAAAAAGTCACACTCAAATGTCAGCACAACACAAATTCAGCTATGTATATAATATTATTTTTATAACAAATATAGCAACTAAGCTGTGAGAATTTTTAACACATTTTCAAGAATTTATAAAATTAGAAAATTACTTTATGAATGTTTTTTACTACATTTTTTACACCTATTTTTCAGCGATGGTAACAATAAACAAATTTAAAAATGCATTGAGAAAATGTATATTTGTTACTTGTCTAGCCTAGCTAAGCTATTCTTAGACAATTTGTAGTTATTAATGGACAATAAAGATTGGCATAGACCTTTCATATATTATTTTACCTGTTTCCATACAGACATATATATGGCATCCTGTGGCATCTTCTTGACCAGTGAATTCTACCGAGGACACGCTGTATAATAAGACAACTGTGCAGTGACATGATTATTTGGAGGAAGTATTAGGCTAACAGTCATCTATAACAAATTGTTTGCCCAAACACAATATGCAGCAACAGCCATGGCACTCCAAAAAAGTTATAAAAACAATCCACTGGACTTTGTTTCCAAGTTTGAAGACATTTCGGTTCCCAGGAAGCTTGTTTAATTCAAAATGTCAGAATTAGCGTTGAGCTCAAAGCTTTATATAGAAGCCCGGACACTTGTTTTGGCTTAGAAAACATACAAATTGAACCAATTTGGATGTCAACATTTGGATGTCAACTAGGGTTAACATTGATAAGGAGGTCAGACATGCTCTCGTCAACCAGACCCGCTCTATACAGTGATTAAGGGATTTAGTGGTTAGGGTAGACGTTATGACACAATTATATCAGCAGGTGCTACGTTGCAAATGCTTAAGTTAACACCTGCATTTAAATCCAAGTTCCACTGGTTTCCTGCATCTTTGTCACACTGATGAAAAATCACAACAAAAGACGTCATTCATTAATTCCAAAATGGAAGGTCTTTTTGAGAAAACCCTAAGGACCAAGAACCAACATCTCCATCTAGTGGTAAAAGTATTAATGTCACCTCCGGATGTGCCCAGCTGGACTGACGGGCAGCAGGCCAGAGAGGAAGCAGTCTGAGTGCTGCTGTACAGATTTTCTTTGCTTCCCTACCTGTGTGTGTTTTCTTAAGGAAATCTAAGTGTTTTCCACTTCTTAGTTATGCTTAACTTGATCATTATTCCAGTTTACAGTCCTTATTGACTCAGTTTTATTTGACTTCAAACAAGAGCGGCAAGACAGGGTTCAATTTCATGTCAGCCTAGTGAACAGCTTTCCATGTGTTTGTAAAATATTGGAACTGATGGATTTGTGGAAACACTCCATTTAAGGTAGGGGAGAGTGGGGCAGTTGCAACAGGTTAGAAATTTATATCAGTTTCTCATTGGTTTTTGTATTAGAATGACAAAGTAAAAAAAAAGATCATATCTGTCCCCTACAC